AAAAACGTTGAAGCGTATTCTGCGAAACGGTTATGCAGGACTGTACGATACGGATATCGGTTTCTATTAGGAGCAAATGCCAAAACCGATATTCGTTTTGTAAGCTACGGATTTTTTTTAGAGAGTGTTTTAGTGAGGTTAACTGGTTGTTTCCAAAGGACGGAATATTTATGGATGGATTCGCTTACACACTTTTGAATCCTCTCTACTTAAATAGTCTAATATTGAGCTAATACGCTTTTTTCTTTATTCAACCTCTAGATATACGATAAAGCAGCTAAAATATCACTGACTGGAACATACGTGGCTTGTCCTTTCGTCGACAGCATTAAGACGGTCAAGATACGGTTTTTATCTGAAAAATGATTTGTGAGTTGTGAACACATCAATGAAGTATGTTGAAAAAGTAATAATATATAATGCGAATGCCGCAAAAAATATCCGCAGTGTTTATTTACTGGAATTTTCACTGTCTTGTTAAATGGCTCCTACCACTTTCTCCGAACCCACTTTCTACATATATACAAAAGATGTCCTGATCGGGTACATTACGACCTGCACATTTTTAAGTGAAGATTATGGATATCAGAACTATCGCAATCATAGTACAAAAGCCTCTTTTGCAAGAAAAAAAGAAAAACTTTTGAATTATTGGGTATCACCATGACCCTTTCTGATCCTGACAATTAAGTAGTTTATTTTAAATCTTTAAAAAATACACTAAATTGAAAATTAGTTCTTTTTCTCTCTCAATCTAATCTGACATCCTTGTAGGATGATATCATTTAAAGAAACTTTTTGTGTTCGTTTATCTGCACTCAAAACTTCAAGGCATATAATAATAATGGAAATTAATATCAATGCACAACCTAAAATCAAAACCATAAACTACATTTATATACACTTCGCTATTTCTCTTACCTAGATAAACAATCCAATCACTTTTTACTACTGTAAAAACATTTTGTAAAAATAAAGCTAATACAATTTCTGTTGAATAAATTAGCGTAACAATTGATGCCTTTTCTCGTTTAATAGCTTTTTGATTTGCAATCATAACCAATATAGATGCTACTGCTATTCCACAACCTGCAAATAATCTCCGATCGTGTGGTAACGACTTTTTAGTGATTACGAAATGTGTTAATATAAGTGAAATGATGGATATAACTAACGCAAACATCGATGACCAAAAACATATAACACTGTTTGGTAATTTCGCATTCAATAATAATTTATTTATAACTGTACTAACACTAAATGCGATAGCAGTCGTTAAAGCCAATAAAGCTCCAATTAAATATCCCCATGATTTTGCTGATGAACTGAAAAATGGAATATTTACTGTCGAATTGGAATCTAATGGTAATATTTTTCCACGAAACAATATTGTTGGACGAGAAATGAGTATGATAGCAAATAATGTCAAAATACATGCAATTAGCCGTTGAATAGTTAAACGTTCTTTAAGAAATATTATACATAATATAATTGTCCATACAACTTGACTTTGTCGAATGGCCGATAAATCTGGTAATGGAATATAATAATAGGCAATAAATCCTGTAAACGAACCAAGACCAATCACAAGTCCACGTATTATCATTTGTAAACGATATTCTGGTGGTCCCAGAATATTGTAATTTTTATAAATTGCATAAATAAGAAATGCTATTGTCTGTGCGAACATCTGTAATGATAAACCGAATATTAAATCAAGACCAATGAAGTATGTTAAGAAAGTAATAGTACATAATGCGAATGTCGCAAAAAATGACCACAGGATACCCGATAAATGTGACATTTTATTTTTATTTTGAATTTGATCAACAGTAATTATCGAGGATATTTTGTCATCAGTATGAGGTATCATCAGTTCACGTTCCAGAATTGTTACTACTGATAATCTATGTGTTTCGGACATGGTAGAACGCCTACTATCCTGCATAGCTGTTGAGCGTCTGACACCATTTTCCAGTGATTTCTTTTCATATGGCGTTAATTCTTCGATTAACGATTTTCGACGTTGTTGTTGTGTTTCATTCATCGATTCTGCACGGAAACGTTGAGCTGTATCGGCTTCTTGCTAAGAAATAATAGAAAAGATTTTACATCCAGATAAACACTTATTTCAACTATACACTTACGCTCATTGTAATTTCTCCTTTTTTTGCATTGTCTGTTGGTGCTGTTGAATATGTTAATGACGGTGTTGGTTGTAGTAGGTATCTTATTTCTTGTCTTAATTCTTCATTGAAATCATCATTTTTACTACTATTTGATGTTGGAACAGCAATTGTATCATGATTATTACTGATAAGTTTTGTATTTGATGTATCGACATCGTTATCATCATTATTATCTAATGTTAAAATTGATTCTGGCTCATTGAGTGACTCTGGGAAATTGCGGAATGTAGGTGTAACCTCAATATCCTTTTTGTTATCGGGACTTAACGTTGTTTCCTCTGGAGCACGAATCACAGCAAAATGCTAAATAAACAACGCGTGTGTTTGCAAGGGAATCTGTACAACTACACATGCTAGTAGTAACTGATACATTCAGGCATTTTATATATTCAACTACCAATATCTTCATCAATATAAAGTTGAAAGTGCGTGTAGCCCAGAATAAATGTCTCATTCAGTATTTTCTCAATGTCTCGATCAAGATCGATCGCCAGATCTCAATCTTTCTTTTAAAATATTCTTCATTCAAGTCTCTACACAAAGCATTCGGACTATTTCGCTATACACTATAAAAATAAAAAAATATAGAGGAAATAAAAGCTTGTAATTGATGCAACAAAAGAATTATTTTACTTTAAGACAAACCAGACCTGATGTTATAACGTGTTTTGATCAAAGCATACAAATTTTCCTAAGTATCCCAAAACTGCAGTTAGAAAATGATGAGTTTGGGCACAAGTATTAAAAGAAAAAAAATTCTCCTGCGACCGCTTGCGCCCATGAAGAGTCTTAAATATAGCCAGTTGATAGAGCTTTTCGAGAACTACAATATGGCCATTTTCTCTTTTTTTATATCATAAAATATAAGGAACTGAAATTGAAAAACCTATTTTGAGGATTTGAAAGTAATCGATATTGAAGCTTTCCCGTATTTCCTTTATATGTTTTTATCAGAGCTGTTAGAATACACAAAAAAAGTGTAAGATGAAATGTACTGCAGGAATACATTGATACAGTGTAACTGTAAGCTAGTAGTGGACTGACCGGGTGGGGCTGAGGTGGGGATACTACATGAGAGTGAGCCGCTTAATAAGTTTTTCCAAGCAAGAGTGCAGAACAGTGGAGATCTACTGATGTATGTAGAATCCAGCACACTTTGTAGAATTTCAGTATGAAAGCGTTGAAAAGCATGAAAAGTAGAATAGTATGAAAAATTTGAAAAGTATGAAACGGATGAAAAGTAGAAAAAGCTGAAAAGCAGGAAAAGTAGGAGGGTTGAACAAGACTAAAATAAAGAAATCGGTCGCGGAAATTTGATCGATGCTGCTGCCACATCTTCGTAAACAAAAGTACTTTACACATTTTTTGTGTATTCTAACAGTCCTCGTTTTATAGTAAATAAAGAAATATTCTGTATGTTTTGTGTAGAAAATTGAATGAAGAATATTTTAAAAAAAAGATTGAGACTTGACGATCAACCTTGACCGAGATATTGAGAAAATACTGAATGAGACATTTATTCTGAGTCGCCCTTTATACGTTATTGAGTTATTAATAAACCGATTGGTGATCAACTAAAACATTTGCGTTTTAGATTCCATCCAAACTGATCGATTTCAGTTTACTTAATCTCATTCATTGTACAATATTTCATTACTCGAATACTCAGATTAAGTAAATTATTAGCGAGTTAGTTACCTTCGTTTCCGGACTTCTAAGCGAACTCATAATTATTTAATTATCTAGTTTTCCTTCATTAAAGTAAATATTAATAATAGAATGCAGAAAAATGAACCATATTATCTATATTTTTGATTTTATACAACGCTACATTTTGACGAAGGTTAACAAGCACGTCAGGTAGTATTGTTTGTTTTCCGGTTCTTTCTTTTCATTGAAGCGAATCAAAAAAATGATGTTAATATCATTTTATTTTCTCTGAAATAGTGTAATGTATGAAAAATATATGAATCGATGAGGATTATTTTCTTACTTGCTATAAAAAAAAAGGGAGAGAAAACATGATCAAGAAATAAATCACGTAAATATATTGTCGTTTACAGTATATAATTAGCTTATCTACATAGATAATTCAATTTTATATGGTTCATATTATATAAATCTGAATCTACTAGTAGATAATTTGTGAAACTTTAAGTATTCTTGTTAGATCAAGGATAATTAGATAGTCTCGCAAATATATAGTTTAGAGACCTAGCTGACAAGAATAGTAGTAATTCAAGCAAAACCTTCACACATTATAATTGGTCTATTCGATCGAGTTTGTTTGTTGTTAATATAGAACACATTTAATATTATTTACGCTTCAAATTTTTATTTACATGACAGATAAATTATTACATGAGAAAAACAAAACAACGCTAGAAGAGAACACGTTATTGAAGAAAAAAAATCCAGAGATAATTGTCATTTCTAAACATATTTTGCTCGTTTACTTTCCATAACATTTGGCCTAAAAGTAGAAAATTTAAAAGTCTCCACAATTTTTAGATGAATCATTGTGAGTACTTACGATTCATCTCCACCTCCTCCTTTTCGTTTATCGATTATTTTTGATATTTGTTGCCATTCTCTGTCTATTTTTTGTTTTTCATCTTTGGGTCCACCTATACAAAAATACGACTTTTTAAATCTGTTCTAGCAGTGTATGTATGAAAAAGCTCACTTTTACGAGTTTTTCTTCCATCTGACATCTTCACACCATATTGAAATGCAGCCCTATCAAACAAAGGAATTGAAAAGATAATCTTTGTAATTACATCGTATATATAGATAATCAAAATCATACTTTGGCATAGCTTCCTTTTGACTCATATAATCAGAATATTCTTCGGCTGTATCAAAATCCCATCGTCCAATGGGACCTTTTTTCGAGCCCATGTCCATTTTATCATAGTCCGGTTCATCATCACTATCGATGTTTACATCTTCTTCAGCCATTGTACTAAAAATACAAACCATTTATCAAATCTTAATTTCTTGTATGATTTTATGTTGATATAATATACCCAGGATAACATTCAGCATAAGAATCAGCGTTAAACTTAAGTTGAAATCCACCTTTTTTTCCTTTTTCATCGCGTGATTCAATCTACAATAGAAAAAGCCACACATATATCCAGGTTAAAGAGTCAAATGTTTTTTCCTACCGATTTATTTTCGTATTTGCGATGAACATTTTTAATAAAATTTTTGACTGCTTCACCACCATTATTTTCTGACTGGCCTTCTTCATCTTCAATCGCGTTTGAACGATCCTGTAACAAAAGATCATCTTAAGATCTAAAATTATGTACAGACAGGAGGAATAGCCGAGGGAGATTGTTCTATTTTTTCACCATTATTAACATCTATCGATTTTTTTCCATTTTTGGAGACGATAACGATACATTAGAATTAGAGTATCAATGCTGATCATCATCTAAACCCGTAGTATTAGCTAAAAAACACTACGTTCATTTTTTGGCTAGTGGATGAACACGAGAATATTAGCAAGAGCAAGTTAAAAAACACTAGGAATTGTCAAAAGATAATTCTTTCTAAAATTACTGTTTTAACAAATTGTATTCTCTAGACTAAGAAAAAATCAAAATTCAACTTCATAGATACTTTTCCTAAGAGTAAAATAAAACTGTATCTAGTAGCAAGTAGTCTTGTAAAGAAAATATGCAGTTGCGTTTATTGTCCTAAAACTTCAAAATTCACGACATCTATTTAGAACATACTAATAAAGAAATTTTCATTCTTTTTCTCCCATCATTTTCTTGCTATTTAGCATAGTTCTTTCGATGAGCATGAGTTGAATTTTGATGCCTTTTAAGTGCAGAAATTTCAATTTTTTTCAAAATCTTAGAAGAGAAACAATTATTTGTTTGTGAACATGTGGCTAAAAGCTTGCTCTGTCTAATAACCTGTCGACCTGCTAGACAAAACTTTTGGTAAAAACGAGTAAATGTGAAAGTGCAGATGATTTCTGTTTTTGTAAAAGAGCAAATTTTAGAATTTTTTCTTATACATGCAGACAGAAATCTGTGATTTGTCGTGATTCTTTAAAGCCTCGACACCATTCTACTAAATGAGGAAAAAAATTTCTTTTATCACTTTTCATGTAGGAAAAGTATAAACATAATATTTTTCAACTTATCATACGCATAATTTTGGTATCCTCTATCTTTGGTCTAGAGATCTAAATAACAAACGTACTCGTCTTCCCATTTCTTGTTGTTCACCTAAACCACTAAAATAATTTCTTCTTCTATTTGCATCTTGTTCTTCCTTGGCACTACGACGTTTTGTATCAGGAACATAATCTCCAACATCGTCATATATACTTCAAACAACATATATAAAAATAAGAAACTAACAATGAAGAATATGTCATAATTACCCAACATCATCCGACTTTTTCACAAAAGAATTTGTATTTTGAGGTTTAATATTCATTATCGTATCTACATGTTCAATACCACCACCTTTTTTCTTTTGTCGCTTTATATCTCTTTTAGAATGTCTTAGATACGACAATATTTGAGTAAGTTTATTAATAACAATATCATTATTACTCAGTGTAGTTGTACTCTAGAACAAAAAATTAAAATCAAATATATTTTAGTGATCTACTTCATTCAGACATTTACTTCAGCATTAGGACAATCAGCTTTTGAACGTATAAGTGTTGTTGGTATATCATCAATAAGTCCATTTTGATTATCTTGATCCGATTCCAAATCAATAACGTATGCCATACGATGTGGTAAAAATAATTCGTTAATTTTTCGTTGATTTGGCTGTTGTTGTTGATTCAATGGATTATTACGAAATAGTGTACGAAATACATTTTTGGCTAATTTTGATTTGATTCCAAGACGATTTTCTTCTTCATCTTCAATCATTTGTTGACGTTGTTGCTGTTGTTGAGCAGCCGTTGGTTTTGGAACAGGTTGTTTATTCGGAGCGGTTTTCTTTTTATCAGTTGTTGTTAATGCAGGAGTTCTGAATAAATAAAATAACTACAATCAATCTTGCTTCATTAATGAAATTTCGATGTATTACTTACGGTGGGAGAGGTGCTACTGGTTTAGCAAACAATTGTTCATCACCATCTACGCCCGATTGATCTGGAAAGTCATCTTTTGTTGTGATTTCCGCACGAACCTAATAAAACATGTCTTATAGCGACAACTAATTATGTCAATGAAATCCACTTACTTTCTGAAGTAAAGCATAATCTAATCCTTTCACTAAATGAGTATGTTCTAAATCTCCTCCCAAAAATTTGGATTCTTCTATGATCTGTTTACGTCTGGCAGCAGCATCATAATTTCTAAAAACAACATCTTCTGTAACATCAATAATGAAATATGTAATATGTCTATTTACCCTTTAGCGTCTGGAGCAACAGCTCGATAATTTCCTGCTGATGTTGTTGGTGCTGACGGTTGCTGTTGTACTTGTGATTGTGTTGGTAGAACACCCGTATCTTCTAAATCTTTATTACGATCTCTTCTTTCTCTTGCTCGATCACGATATTTTTTAGCTCGTTCTTCTTCACGTAATTTTTCTTCTTTAATAAATTTGGCATAGTTTAATTTCTTTTTTTTTCGACGATCAGCCGCTTCAGCATCTTTTTCAGTTCTAAAAATAAAATAGTATATAACTAAGCATGGATAAAGTAAAATAATTATAAATAACATACGCTGATTTGACTGTTTTTGCTTGTGATGATGATGCTACTGTTGAACTTCGTTGTGTACCAACAGCTGGTGTCATTAATAATTTTCGAAAATCATCATTTGTTAACGGATGCCTAAAATTAAAAATATAAAAATATAATGTCAATAGAACAAATCTAGTCTAACTTACGATGGTGTTTGATCAATATCATCTGGATGATAGTTTGCAGGAGCTAAAATATTCAAAAAATAGTATAAGCAAGCCTACGAAACGTTGAATACACAGTATTGATAGTATCGACAATTTTTTTTCAGTCGAACAAAATGGATCATTAAATAAACAAATAATTACCTTGAGGATTCGCAAATGGTTCATCTTCTAAAAAAAGAAGAAACAACTTGTATTAAATACAGAATCAAGGTTTCACATACTTACTTTCAGGCATTTTTTTGTTCCTATATAAATATACACTAATTTAATTGATCTAAAAAAAAAAGTTTCCAAGCAATAAAGAGAAATTAAAGCTTTAAAAGATCAAATACATAAATTACTATAAGAACATTGCTTGTACATTGCTAATATGATAAAATCTGATAACCTTTAGAGTAACTGGAGAACTTCTATCATTCAAATAAGTCATCGATATATCAAATTACTTGAAATTCATATTATCGATCATTGAATTTTTTTAATTAAATAATGACAAATACTATCCTTACCTCTATATCACAAAAATAGAATATATATCTACAAATTCATTGTATATATCTCTATCAATATGATGCAACATTCTATCATATACACTAAGCTAAAAATGGTCAAATACAAATAGTTCAATAACAAAAGGAGAAGGACAAAGTAAAGTACAACTGTCAAATGAATATGGACAAAAAAACAAAAGAAAAGTATCAATACTATTCATAACAAGAAAAAATAAATAAATAAAGCAAAACTAAAGTTATGTATCTGAAACAGTCATCAATTTAGTGAATATATTTTTGATCAAATGAATGCATCTCTATACAACCTTATTAAAGCCAACAATTTTTGAGACAAAAAACTGACTAACATCACTATCACACAATACGTTGCGGTTTAACATATAAAGGTTCCTTGTGGTTCGATCTCAATATTGAAAGACAAATGTATGTATATGAATCACGTCTAACAAGAAAAAGAATATGTTTGTAGCAAACTTCAGCTGTTGTTGTTATTGTCACTGGTATTTTTGTTAGTGTTCGTAGTTAATGATGTAACAATTGTTTGTAACTGATTCCAAGACGTGTCAGATAAATTTTTAGCAACTAATTCGAGAAAAAGTTTTTGTTCTGTACATGAGTTGTTCGATAATTCGTCACTAGAAGTTGGAAGATCTGCAAATTGAACATTTAATGGCGAATATGAAACATTATGACTATTCGTGGATATAGATTGCTGTTGTGTTGTACTCATTTCTACTGGTGTTGTCGTCAAATATAACTGGAAGTTTTTTGATTGTTTTATTCCGCACTTCTTAATGACTTTTACTCTTCCAGCTAATGATGTTTGTTGTACTTCGGTACTCATCGGTTTTCGTTTAATTATTTTTGGTACTTCCGAATCCCATCTTGTTTTCTGTCCATATATAGGTAATTTCATCTGGTGATCATTCATAATTCGTCTAATACAATGATTTTGTACATTTGCCACATCTCTCATTGCGTTAAAACCAATTTCATCAAAATCTTCGTAACCTTGATTTTTATCATCAAAATCAGCACGTGTAAACGGAATACTACTAACACTAACGATCTTTTTCATTGTCCAACTACTACTAGGTTGATTTGTACTTGTTGTTGCCTGTGTAAGGTGTAAAACATCACCATCTTCTTCATCGTCAACTATTTCATTATCAAGATCGTCTACATAACCAGTAACACCCATTCTTTGACAACGTTCTTTTTTTGAATTTAAACGGCGTTTCTCATGATTTTGTCGACGTCGATATTTAACGTATAATAACAATATTCGTCTATACACTCTTCGTACATCACCTGCAATAAATTCACCACCTTCTTTACTTATTTGATCAAAATAATGGCTTATCAATTTCTTAAGTGTTTTCAACGTATCAACCAATGTATTTAATTTTTTTAACATTTCGTAATCTTGTTGATTTTTTAAAATTGATGTTGAAAGCATTGATTGAACAGGTAAAAATTGATTTCGTCCACCAATATTGTTGCCAGAAAAACGAGATGATTTTATTCTATGATGTGGAAAATAATGGTTCATGTTCACTATTAAAAACTTTCTAAACAAATTTTTAATAAATATATCTAAATAGAAATCAATCATTCATCTGAAGAAATAAAATGATCTGAAAAATAAAATAAACATCTTTTTTCGAAGCACAGCGAATTTTGTATCATTATATTCATGTTCATTCAGTTTTACAATATTTATGAAGAATATTATTATTAAACATCGATCAAGATTAAACTGTAGATTTAACATTGAACTACAGATGTGTGTTATTCTAATTTCATTGTCAAGTTTTGCAGATGTTTGATAAACGTTGAAACGTGTAGCTGTTGAAAATAATAATTGTACGAATAAAGGTTTATTAAAAACTATATTTTTATGATATCATCGTATACAATATTTACCTAGACAGCGGAAAAAATTTTAAAGTATCAGAAAACAATAACAGGGATAATCTTATGACTATGTTCTACGTTCGAAAAATAATTAATGTTTTTATTTTCTTCTTTTTTGACTTCGAATGCGGGATAGAGTGCACCTGGAAAATAATCAATACATAGAAAAATAACAAAATGTTCAACAATTTATCAAGATTAAACTATAGATTTAACATCGAATTACGAACGTGTGCTATTCTAATTTCATCGTAAAATTTTGAAGACGTTGGTAAACGTTGAGCTGTTGAAAATAATAATTGTACGAATAAAAGTATATTAAAAGCTATATTTTGATAATATCATTGTATACATATTTACCTAGATAGCGGAGAAAATGTTAAAGTGTCAGGAAATAATAGCAGGGATAATCTTATGACTACGTTCTACGTTCGAAAAATAATATTTAATGTTTTTTATGGTGGTCTTCTTTTTTGTCGTTGAATGCGTGATAGAGCGCAGCTAAAAAATAATCGGTACATAGAAGAATAACAAAATGTTGAACAACTTAACTCACCAGCAGTTAATAGTGTAACAACAAATCCCTGAGCGGCCATACGAGTTCGGATCCTAAATCGAGAGTAAACAAGAACAAATTGAGAATATGTTTTGAACTAGATAAATGAATTGAAGTTTAACGATTTGACTACCTATTTTTTAACGCTTATCGTTAATCAAATAATGGCAAACATCTCTAGTTGATCGTACAATCAAAAAATATTTTTCTTCAAATCTTACCAATAAGTCGACGTTGGTTTTGTTTTATCTCTTCTAGTAAATCCAATAATTGCACCGGTAACAATAACACCAAAACCAAGCATTCCTAAAAAACAACAAAATTTTTTTAATCATATTATACAATCGCTGTTTAATTTCATACAATTACCTACCAATCGGTACTACAGGATCTTTCTTGACTTTTGCCCATAATTTTGATTCCGTTGGTTCTTCATGTTCATACCTTCGACTAAAATCAATCATAAAAGAACAACTTTGAATAAAAAACTGAATATATACAAAATACCTAGTTTCGTCTCCTTTGGTATGATGAACATCAGATTCTAAAGAAAATAATATGATATATCAACGAATATAAATGTAAATGTTGGGGAAAAGTACCTTGTGACCGTTTAGCCATTATGGAAATACAGAATCGTTATGAATATAGATTAAACTAAACTAAATACGGAATCAAAAATCTAAAACAATAGAGTATGCAAATATAAATACAAAAAAATGATTCATGCAAGACGCAACCAGGTATCCCAGATCGTTTGATTTTGGCAGAAAATTTCTGATTCTTGAACCTTTTTCTGCCTCATTTCTGCTTTTTTGTAACAGAACACTAATGCTTTTCTGCTTTTAAAATGAATTTTTCTGATTTTAGAATTTCTTTTTCTTATTTTCACGTTTTGGATCTGATATCCTGGACGCAGCAATTCCCTTTCAAATGATGTAATGATGATAATCACTTACGTAATACATCAAATGATTTCTTTCTTGTCACGAAACCTTTTACTAATTAAATAAAGGTAATGATCCTGACACGCAAAGTTAACTAGTTTCCAATATATTTTTTATCCACTAAAGAGCTTGTTGAAGATGAATGCATAGTGAAAAAGTCAACTCATTTTTCAACTTCAACTAACCGGCAGGGAATAAGTCTTTTTTTTCTTGATTTTGATCTAGATTGATCGAGAATTTTCAAAATAAAAGACTAATTTTTAAAACTTTCGAAAATATTTTTATTAAACAGTTATTTTATTTCGATATATATACGCACATGCACCGGACTTTATACACAAAGGTATACCAGAGGAAAGCTGCATCAATAATACAGAAAGAAAATAATGCCGACACTTTGGGTTTGAAAAAGAAGATTACAAAAGCCACACGTCAACAAATACACAAAAAATGATTGAAAAAGCTCTGATTTGCCATTAAAATCATATACGTCGATAATAAGCTAGTATAATTAAATATAGCGCCGTCGTTTATTTTGCCGTAATTTGTAACAAATGATCGACAACTAGTTCTCTGTTTCCTTCATTGATATCAAAAAGTTCTTCGATAACAGAACGTGCGACTTCGGGGAAAACCTCTTGCACTTCCGTTACGTCTTTTTGTGAATAATTCTGAGAATGTTGTTCCTGCCTTTGTGGGTTTTGTTGCTGATGTATATTATCACTTTGTTGAGGTTTAGGAATTGTTGAAGTTGAGCGAGTAGGAGACTGAGAAAGAGATGTCGATGCGTTTGATGGCATTTCGTTACCAGACGAAGTAACTGTGGTGCCGATATTGTTGTTGATATTTGGCGCAGGTAATGGCATTTGATAGTCGAGATTCGGTTGACCTACTTTAAAAGGCTAAAATAAAATAAAAAGAAAGATACTTTGTCAAATTCTCCTAAATTGTTCAATGTATTCGAAGCTATTTTGGTAAACCAGTAATATTGAAAAAACGTAATAATAAAAATACAAACTGCTACAAACATGATTAATACAAATCACAGTACTGTTATTTTATATGAAATTATATTGGTTGCAGTTGAATGTGATTGAGATCCTAAACTATTATTTTGGTTTATTATTGATATTTCGACGATGTTCGCTCATTATCATGAGAATAAACACTGACGCCAGATTAGATCCAATAAGAGTTCAGAAAAGTAAAGAACAGTAAAATACGCAATTAAGTACACGTCATTTATGCATATGATCAATTATATAATAGTCGCTAATGAATGACAAAAACCATTTTTGTATATACAAGACCGTTTTAAATTTGTAAAGAAAGTTACAAACTAACAAAAATGAAATAATGGTCAACTTCGCCATTGAATTTCTTTATACCAACGTTCCTATATATGAAGCGTTCCTATCACCACCGCTCTAGATATTGTATTCAACGATAAAGATAATTCTACTACATGCCCATATGATCGTCAACAATTAAAAAAGTTATTAGAATCAAGTGTTATCAATATTCCTTTTCGTTTTCAAAACGAAAACTATATTCAACAAGATGGTGTTGCAATGTGTTTGCCTCTTGCATCCACCTTGGATAACATATTTGTTTCTAAACTAGAACAGAAATTAAACAGATTCAGCACTGATGTGAATCAGCTATGTAGACGACGTCTTCTGCATATTTCATAAAAAACAAAATATTGATGAATTTCTCACAAGAATATAATAAATAGCACAGCAACATAAAATTTACCATCGAATTGCAACAAAAAACCAAAGTCCGCTATTTCTTCGTGATACATAAGAAAATAACAGAAACGCAACAACAATAAATAGTAGTAAAAAAGAAAGAAATATTTTTTATACTAGACATCTAGCAAAAATGGAGATATCTCTTATAGTACACGATATGCGTACACATATCACCATTCTTGTCCTCTTTCAGGCAAGTCTTAACTCTTGCCATTTCAGACAAGACTCTTTCATTTTTTTTTCTCAGATAAGAGTCTTGTGTACAGAAACGCAAAAGAAAAATGGATTGTAATGAAGTCTTACAAAAGAATAATCTGTAACACTGAGGCACGAGTCTTATCGAGATGTACTTTACGTTCCCATTTCTATTGCTTTTTAGCTTGAGTAGATCTACGTTCTATTAAAGAGTGGATGTAGAAACTGTATAAAGTTTACTCAAACTCAGAATCGTAGCGCTACAACTCAAATCCCAGTACTATTGTTTACTCCTTTCAGAGAATTATTTTGTGAAAGTGTAGAAAGTTTGCGGCAGTTTTCACACGTCGGTATTTATATGAATATTAAGCTTGACAGTGACTGACTTTTTTGTTGAATTAAAACCGCATTCTAACTTTTATAGGTACTGGTTGTTTTCTCTTGTCCTATGACGATAGAAAGAGGTTGCTATTGAGATTCTTCCCAGGAATACAAAAAGCAAGTTTCTCTAATTGTTTGTTTCATTTAGGATAAACTTCTACCTGCATTAAATATGAACCATGGAAGACAATGATGAAAATGACGTTTTAGACATACTTGCAGAAAATGTGCTTCATGATCTTGGTGTGTAGCTCTTTGTTTTTGTTTATATTATATTTCGTTTTCTTCAGCATCTCGTCGTCGAGCGACTCGGCTACGTGCTGTTCATGAAAGAAACACTGCGGAATGGATGATCGATGGCGTCCCTGATTTAGATCACAAAAAATGTTACTAATTACACCTGTCGAGGATAACGTATGCAAAATATGTCATGCCAACACGGAACGTGAGTTATATATTTCAAAGATTTTTTTAGAATGACGATGCTGATTTTGAGTTTCCGTTGGGCCATGATGTTTTCTCAGAACTGCAAGAAGAATTGTTGGTATGATATTTTCGGTTTATTCTATTTAATAATTAGAATTAGATGAGGAGGAATATAAACTGAACGTAAGTCTTTTCCTAGCTCATGACGATACATGGGAATTTGGTTAGCTAAATTAAACGAGACTGATTTTTAGATAACAGTGAACCAGAAGAAGTCAATAATGTTACTAGTTGTGACGTTTATATGTTTATTTTTTCGATTACTTGCGTGTAAACTATTGCATGCAAAAAGTTATTTTTTGCTTATTAATTTTTTGTTAAGTGTTTTTCTAGAGCTAGATATGCTGTTCTTGTTTCTGTATTGTTACAAAGTATTTCTATAAAAATATTGTAATAAATGTTTAATTCAACCTCATATAAACATGCAGAAAGCCTACAAGGACGAAAAACGCAAGAGTCATACCGAATTCACAAGAGAAGAATCTAGTCTGAATGCACAAGTCTTGACACTCTTGTCAAGAATCGGCCGCATGACCCTTGTCTGAATACCAAGACTAACGATTTCGACAGGAATCTTTAGATATCATTTAATCTAACAAGAATCTTGCCTAAATTTACAAGATTCAAGACTCTCATCTGAAATAGAACAAGAATGTTGACATGCATGATCACTCAAGCAGTATATCTATCAGAATACATAAACATGCCTGTTCTTTCTTTTTATCGTATCTAAGCACATTGATATCCTTCTGTTCTTTATTGGTACCGTGTCTAGGCATATCTATCCATCTTCTTTATTTCAGAGATATCTTTAGTCACAAACAAAAATATCTTTTGGTAGCGTAAAATAAAAATCAAGTTTGTACGCTCAACCCGATAGAATGCACATGCAGAATGCATCACAGTAGTCTAAAGCTACTAAAACAAAAGTCTGAATAAGATCAGTCACATTTATAGCTAAATTAATTCTGCCACACGGACAACGAACAAGATAAAAAAACAAGTCTAATAGCTAATCATCATTTACAACGAAATTTGTTTGCACATCTATCTAATTTATTTATATTTTGTAATGTATTTGATGATTGAGTGACAAAAGAAAGAACAGGCATATTTATGTATTCTGATACATATACCCCTGAATAATCCTAGTTTCTGTATGCTGCAGTGCAATGTTGTATCCCTTCTGTAAAAGTTAAAAATGACTATTGACAACTAAACAATGCAGCTCCAATTCAGATTATTTTAGCTTGTCTTCTCATTTTCTGTGGTAATCAATTGTGTTAAACTGATTGACCAGTAAGGATAGTAACCCGCAGTCCAAAAGTCATCTGAATCGAAAACTAGTCAGACCAGACTACATTTATAGCTTGCCCTACAAAAAAATATTTTATCAGCACTGGTTGTGCACGGGTGCGCACCGATGCCGAATAATTTTTTTTCTGGGCACCGATGCGCATCGGTGCCAGAAAGAATGAAAATTTTCGCACTGGCTTTGGCATATCGATGATCAGTGCTGCATTCTAATACAAAATTCAGCATAAACAACCATAATAAAAAACTAATTAAATTGATTAAATAAATTACCCATGCGATACTCTTTCGGCAGAAATATATGGGCACTGGTGCACACCAGTACCAGCTAGTGCCAGTGAGTGATGGCATGCTATGCGCACTGATTTTTACCAGTGTCGCACTGGAATTTTTTTATAGGGTGTTTTATCAATTTCTCCACTATATGTTTAAAAAAATGTTGAAAGAATAAAATGGTGAATGAAAACAACGCTGCACTGACTTTTCCTCTTTCTTCAGACAGGGAAAGAGACAAAGAGAATAACGTCGTGTATGTGCGCGAAGAGATATCTCCATTTTGCTAGATGCCTACTATCTTATTAAGAACCCATGATTTTATCACAAAAAATTTATTACCACATTTAACTATAAACGTTGGTTGTCTACTTTTAGCCGAAAATAAGAGTCATGTTAGATCTTGCTTGCCCATTGGTGAATCGGCAAAATTTCTAACAATCCTTCTTTTAGCCCTTATTATCGGCTATTATTTTCGGTTAAAAGCAGACAACTATAAATGTTGCTTTTAAAAAGTCATTTACATTGAAAAATATCTTTCATGCCATTGCAAAAGAGTGTCGATTCAACTAAGAGAAGTAAGAAATTAGTCTATTGTGTTAAATATAATAATTGTGATCCAGTATACATAGGAGAAACAAATCGTGAAAAAAGGACTCATATGTAGTGCCCCTCAGGTTACAGCTTTTTCATAACCTATAGCCTGTCCAGTAAAAACTTTAGCAACCTACAACCTTATACCTCGTAACCTGTAATCTGTCCTAACCTGCAATATTTTTTGCGTAACCTGTTCTGTCCTGTGAAAAAATGAGTACCCAAGTTCGAAAATTTTTCCTAATAAAGTGAATTCTTTTCATTTACTTTATTTATGCAGCAAAAAATAACAACAAAAGATCACATATCTCTGTAATTTCTGATGAATAATATATCGTCAACAACATCTGGATTCAACGACTGTCTTCGTGTTTCCAGTACTCTTCCTGATGCACTAAATATTTTTTTTTGAGTAATAAAAACTATTTTTTGAGTTCTTATTCCTTCCTCTTTACAGATGGCGCTTAATATTTTTTTACACGTTGAAACAGGCTACGGGCGGTGTAACCTGTCGTGTAAAAATTTTCGCAACCTATAACCTATCCTGAACTGCGAAGTCGTAACCTAAACCTGTCCTAATCTACCAGGACAGAACAGGTTATGCATGACCTCCAGGGCTCTACTCGTGTTCCGGTACGAGTTCCGTTTTTTTTTTGTTTACCCGCTAACTGGAAGATTTTACTGGAAAACCACCAAATTTTAGTAGAAAAATACAGCTTTTAGCTGAAAACGTTATTTGAGAACGTAATGATAACTTGTCATCTCCAGCCGAGAAGCAAAAGTTTTTAGCTGGAAAACGAAAAGGAGAAAATTTTTAGGCATAAGTCGGGTACGGATACAAACTTACGGATGGAAAAAAAATTTTCGCGTCGGGTACGAAAACAGTACCCCCTGCACATCTCTACTCATATGAAAGAACACAAAAATGATATAAGAAAAGGAAAACCTACTTCAGCTATAGGTCAACACTCAATTAATAATAATAAATTTAACATTGCTAACTCTGAAACATTAATTCTAGAAACAGATTGAAACAGAAGAACTAGCAAAGAAAGCTAATTTACTCATCAAAGCTATGGCAAATCTATTACTGAAATCAAATATAAACTAAAAATATTTGGATGAAACTGTACTCTATGAGTAAAAGCTTTATTGGTCAAAGATAATGTTCAATAGAACATATGATTGATCATATGCATAAAAGACGCGTACTTAATTGCCTATTTTACTGTTCTTTTACTTTTCTGTACTCTTATTGAACCTAATCTGGCATCAGTGTTTATTCTGATGATGAGTGAACATCGTCGAAATACCAATAATAAACCAAAATAATAGTACAGTGATTTGTATTAATCATTTTTGTAGCAGTTTTATGTTTCTTATTACGTATATTCGAAGCTATTAAAATTAACCAAAAATTCTACATCTTTTTTAGGATTAAAATGTTGCACACTTATTCTCTTCAATAAGTTGGTACATTGATAACCATAGATATGTATAAACCCTATGTGTATATGATTGTACATGTCTTTAACTGCCGATGTAATGCATTTTTGTATTTCAATTATTTAGAGCAATATCATCTCAACTGATACTATTACCGCTAATAAAATCCCTCAGTTATACGGGCTTCGACTCAATTTATGAAAGTTTGATGAGTACTTTTAGTTCAAAAGAAAGGAGAGTAAGTTCAGGATGATAAACTGATCTTTATTGGGTTTTTTAGACTTGAATCTTCTCTCTAAGACCTACCAAGCTTATATAACATGCGCTCATAATCACGGTTTTCGACAATAGAGTATTTAGTATATCTCTCAAAATTTGAATAGTATTCTCCCATCGATGCGTTACTATGATACATATAATGGCTAAGAATATAATTTGTCATAATCGTTTAGTCTTTTCACAAGTGATATGTAAATAAAACCTTGGAATCAATTGGAAGAAAAAAATTACTATTCTAGTAAATAAGTAGCATTTACATCAGATTTACATTACAACATTACAACATTACAGAACAAAACTTGCCATTCTGCTAAATATTTTCTTTTGAGATGGGCAACAACTTTAACACATTCACTGCCACACATGCTGGAATATATGACATGAATACGTCATACGACGTATACGGCAGTGAATGTGTTAAGATAAATTGTATAGTTAATGCCGCTACGTGAAATGACAACATTCTTTTATGTTGTGACAATGTTTTCAACCTATTATGGTCATTATCAAATCAATACAAATAACTGTAACAGAAAATGAATTAAATTGGAAATTAATTTTTCATTTTCTGTTACAGTTATTTGTATTGATTTGATAATGACCATAATAGGTTGAAAACATTGTTACAACATAAAAGAATGTTGTCATTTCATATAGCTGCATTAACTATGCAATTTGTCATTCTGCGTAAGGCCTTTCCAACTGAAATAAGTCTAACTTGAGGGCTACAACAGTCCTACGTTTCGCACCAGACTATGATTTTTAAAAAGGCTCAAGGTAAACAAGTGTAAAACAAACTGACATAAAAAGAGCATTTTTTTCAAACAAAAATACCCCACAAGGTATGCATGTAACTATTTTATTCATTCGATGCTTTAGAATATTTTCATCTATAAATAAAATAAAATGGATACAAACAAAATATTCTATATTACTCATAGAGCGATATTGTGATTCGTATTTTTATAACCTCTTCCAAATAGAAACAAGATCAAGTTAAAGTTGTTCAAGATTTCGTGTAGCAAATAGAAGCTAAAATAACTTCTTTAAATGTATTTGTAAACAACGTATTCTTAAGCTTAGTTGATGAAAGACCATCAGACACATTCGGATTACTTTTCTATGCATCAATAATATTTAGGTTCTTGGGATTATCTTCTCACTTTTTCTCTGTGAAATTTTTAAAATGACCTTTTTTACCATAAAAAGGTACTCAATGCATTACCGACATTTCTCTTGTTTTTGTTGTTAGTATTACTTATTATTATTGTTTTTTAAAATGTCATTTTAAATCAGACTCTTACGAAGTCAAAATAAGACAAACTTAAGATATTTAAGGACAAGATACATAGATTGGTACCATTTTAATAATAGTAATATACATACCACAAATGACATAATAAGGAGGATATCTCCTTCGTTTTGATTTTGTTTTCCAGTCAGTGGATACCAATTTTGTTTTGTTTCGCCGTTAAATACTTCTTGGGGGATAGAAATGTGACATTCACCAATAAATTCATCTTCTGTAAAATTACGCTAAAATAACAAAGATTATAGTTGAATCGTATATGATTTTACATTACAAACTGAAAAATAAGTTTGCAAAAAGAAAGATTGTTTGTTCTTACTTCGTCAAATACTTCTAAATAAATTGTGTCCATTCCTTTAAATAGATTTCTAAAAAGGAGAAAAAGGCTCTGCTAACAGTTGAAATTCAGTTAATACACTTGTAGTACTTACATTCGATAAGACACTTTCCATTGAGGATTTTTTCCTCCGGACTGTGCTCGAGGTGTTTCATGAGCAATATGCCCGAGGCGTATTCTTACATAAGGGTCCATTTTTAACAATCCAAGAGGTCCAAAATTTCTAATTAATTTACCCTAAAAGAAGTATTGGAAAACGTCACATACGATGTACAAGGGCCATTAAAACACTTGCTTCAGCTACGGTTAGAGTTAAATGACCAAGAAAATTTGGATTTGGCAATGATTGTTGTGCTTGATGAACTTGTGGGAAAGCATCAGCTTGTGAATCATAGTAGAGTTGAGGACGTGTTAATTGAATGCGCAGAAAATCATCTGGTAATTCGCCTAGCATTACCTAAATATAAAGAGAGCAACAATTTGTCTACCGCTAAATCTCAAAAAAAGAAACATACACGTGAGCGATATTCATCAAATTTCGGGTTTTTGTTGTTGTCTGAAGTTGATGCAGAAGCTGAATTTGCATAATTTGATGCTGTAGTTGCAAAAGAGTTTGTCGCAGTAGCGAAAGCAGACGCCATATTAAAATTTGGATAAATCTGTAACAAACAAATACAAATTATATCTGAATAGAAAAGAGAACGGTCGGTCAGAATGACATTGATTGAGTTATTAGTAGGTTCCCTCACAATCTGCTAAGAAAATAATGAGGTATGACCGAAGTAAATATTGGACCATATCGATGGTAAAATCTGGAGTAAACAACCTACAAGAAGGCGTTAGCGTTCATGTATATGGCTGCCATCTAGTTTTGTATAAACAAAGATGTCGGTCCAAATAATGAATCGCCAGGTGGAAATTGATTCTTGATTTAATCAAGAATCTCTTAATAAGAGAAATCAGATTAAGAAAAAGCGAAACAACGTATGTTTTGGGACAACAATTCTTTCTACATCTCCACGATAAAAGAAAAATTCGGAAACTAAAGCGAAGGATATTTTCTCTATTCAAAAGAGTTTTAAGCTGATTATAGAAATTTTGAAGTCATGCTTACTTGACCATATTATGAGTAGTATCCGTGACTTGCTCGTGTGATTAATTGTAGTTATTTCGAATTTTCTGTATAATGTTTAGATTAACATCAACTTAAACCGAAAATAATATCAAGGAACCACGTAAGCGTTGAGGATGTCGTCTCTACAGATTTTCAAAGTCTCGTTCAAGACATTTTTTCTGTAGTAGAAGTTTTGTCAAAAACATTTACACTCATAGTTGCGGTTTACTTAATCTGCCACTGTTGACACAAATAACAACTCAGAATTATAAACTTCAGTCATATTAGTTTATGAAATATATTTATCTTAGTTTTATTTCAAAACTTGTTGAAAGTATGAGGACCTAATGTGAAGTTTGCACTTTTGCTGCCATGCGGTGATTATATCGTTTTTAACTTTTTGATTTAATTTTTTAACATGCATTTTGCTTGTCACCTCAAAAATACTATACGTCACCTTGATACCAATATATATTTATTTAAATAGCGTTATCTCTGTGTCATGAAAGTCACAATAGCATATTTTCTCTATTCAAAAGAGTTTTAAGCTGATTATAGAAATTTTGAAGTCATGCTTACTTGACCATATTATGAGTAGTATGCGTGACTTGCTCGTGTGATTAATTGTAGTTATTTCGAATTCTCTGTATAATTTTTAGATTAACATCAACTTAAACCGAAAATAACATCAAGGATGTCGGAACAAAAAGTAAGAATTAATTTTTTTGAAATAAATTATTGAAGAATGACATTTTTCATTAAGATTTTTACAAAACCCCTTGTGTTAACTGCATTAGCCTCTGCATCTGGTATGCTTTCATTCGGCTGGAATACAGGATGCATTAATTCGTCACAAACAGCTATCAAAAAGTTTATGATCGATGTTTATTTTAAACGAAATGGGACCCATCTATCTCCATTTTTCGTAACATTTTTATGGTCAGTTACAGTATCTATATTTCCTCTTGGAGGAGCAGTTGGAGGTTATTTCGCAGGACCTGTTAGCCGAAAATTCGGGATGAGAAATGGTCTACTATTAACAAATCTTTTAGGCTTAGGCGCTGCTAGTTTAATGGCTGTATCAAAATTCATCAGTTCGCCCGAATTGCTGATATTGGGACGGTTAATTATCGGTATCGAATGTGGCTTTTATACAGGTTTATGTCCAATGCTTCTTGCAGAAGTCAGTCCAAAACAAATTCGTGGAGCAATAGGATCATTGACTTCGTTATCAGCTTACACGGGTTTGCTATGCGCTGAAATATTTTCCACGCCCGGATTATTTGGAACGGAAGAGCTGTGGCCATTTATCTTTCTATTTGCTGCTGTACCTCCTGTAATTCAGTTTATTTTACTTCAATTCTGTTCTGAAGGTCCGAGATATTTGTTAATCATTCGTAACAACGAAGCCGCTGCGAGAACAGTTCTAATGCAATTGAGGAAAAAATACGATGTTAATGATGAGATAGATGAAATGAAACGAGAAGCATTAAACTTAGCGAACGAGAAAAAGGTCAGCATTCGGGAGTTATTTACAAATAAAATTTATAGGTAGGTGTCATAAAAATTAATCTAATATCTGTTTATTATTGATATCTATCTCATCTTCAGATTGCCTATAGCTGTGGCAATTGTTGTTCATTTATCGATGCGTTTTTGCGCAATAAACGGTATTATGTACTATTCAACAGATTTATTTAAAAAAGCAAAAATTGCTGAGGGAACTGGCTCCTATGCAACTATTGGCGTAGGTGTTATACTAGTAATAATGACAATCGTCTCTGGTTATTTAATGGATAAAGCAGGGCGACGTACTCTGCATCTATTAGGATTGATGGGAACATTAGTATGCAGTGTTATGATTACACTAACAATCGTTTTTTTAGTATGTATATTTTCGTATTGAAAAAAAGATAAAACTTTATTTCTCTTATATTATGTAGCATTTGACCGTTTGGATAAAATATCTCGCCATCGTATTTGTTTATACGTTTGTCATATTTTTTGCCGTTGGTCCAGGTACAACGCCATGGGTCATTTTACCAGAAATATTTTCACAAGGTCCTCGGCCTGCAGCTAAGGACTTTTCGCAAAAGACGCCAGAAAGAAATATTCTACTAGTTAGCGATGCTGGACATATTTTTCATATATGTTACCTCATTCTAATATTCATTTAATAAAGCAGTACAAGAGAATTGAACTTCATAGTTGATTTAGAATAGATGTCATTTAGAATTCGTCTATTATCAGTGTTGCAACTGTTGTCAATTGGCTTTCAAATTTTGTAGTTGGTTTAACTTTTCCGTTGCTATCTGTAAGTCGTTTGCTAGTGTTCTCTCTTGCTTATTCTAAATCAATTTGATTTTTCATTTTAGGATATTATTCCGAATTATCCATTTGTTCCATTCGCTGTTATTACATTGTTTGCAATTCTATTTTTATATAAATATTTACCAGAAACAAAGAAACGCACGTTTGAAGAAATAACAATGTTATTCCGATCACATATGAAGGAATCACCAGCTATCATTCAGTAAATACGTTGTTCAGAATCAATTGAGCGGTTTGAGAGCAACCTTTTTTTACCATCGATTCAAAGAGTATACGATTCTGTGTCCAACTAAAGGTTCATAATAAAAGATGCATGAGTTAATGCATTTTCAGATTTCCTGCTTCTCTCTTAATTAAAAGGCGAAGTGCAAATGTTATAAACTGGGTTTGTGAAGAATTCTAGGTTGCAGTTACCAAGATTTGACTGTCCTTTTCTTTCATTTGTCCATTTTATGTTTAACAGATAATATATTTTGTTTAATCTACCTATGTTGTGTTTTTGTTTTTTTATACTTAATTTTGTTGTCACTATCTATGGGAGTTGGAGTGATGTGAGTGAAGATTTAGAAGGCGATGATGAAAATGGTTCTGAATTTTCTCGTAATATTGGAATATCAATCGACAATTGATAACGCTGAATTAAATGCGAGATGTATATTATAAACATCGTATTTTAATAAATACGGTATTGGTTTTCGGGATGTAGAAGTGTTCATATCACGCTTAATGAAGCATTTGGATTATGAATATCAGATAATGAACTATTATTCGGTATTCATCAAGGCAACAAACGAACATTTTACAGTGCATGCATATGTAAATCGGCGATGTTTAACAATAGGCGCTGTAATTTTCAAATAGTGTTAGTTAGTATTAACAAATTTCGAACAATATAAATCATCTCAACATGTATTTTGTATAATGATAATATTTATATTAATGATCTTCACACATTTTAGTGAGACATCAAGTAATACAGGTAACATTTAGAAATGGAATGTCAGCAAACATAATTGCTCCTTCTTGGCTTTAACCTTCTATTCTTCAAAGGAAAATGTATAAGTCACGTGGATGATACGTTTAATCTATTCATTTTATGTGTAATTTTTCAAAGAAATATAAAATTCATTGACTTCAGCGAAGTTAATTATGATCAAGATATGGTTGATGAGTTAATTCAAGTGTATAATGCTAATGGGAAATCAACGACATAATGTCAGATTTTTATTCGATTTAAGCCTGTAAAAGTTCACGTTTCGTTCCTTGAATGTGAACGCCAAAGCACTGGTGAACGTGAGCTTTTTTTTTACACGAACGTTGTTCATGTTGTCTGAAGTAAATATAAAATTCTGTTCTTGTACTGTAGTAAGAACATATATATTTCTACTTGGTCTTATCTGATCAATAGTAACTTTAGTGAACGATCACATGGCCTGTTCAGGGCAGTGACCAGATTATTGCAATGTAAAAAGGATAGCTATTGATTCTTCCAGAAACATATCGCCGATTTCCTGACCAGGAGACTAGTTTTTCCTTCAGTGTAACCGAAGTTCCTTGGTCCAAATCATTTTCGTAACTATATACTCTTTCCTTTGTTATCGTAACCCATTTGGGAGCTAATGAGCGTTGATTTTTCACTAAATATAACTGGCAACGGAGAAAGTTGTTTCACTTGGTATACTACTAGCTGAAATTGCTATATAACGCTTTGCAATACTATTCATTCCACACAAAATCAACACTGTTCATATAAAATAAAGTTCACATTCACCAGAATACTCACGTTCATGCTCAAGGGACGCCAACGTGCTTTAGTGCTCACGTTCAAAGAAAACGCTAAAAAGGAATGCTGAACGTTTGCGGTCCTAATCCGATTGTAGATGCATAATAATTTGGAGTGGCTAACGATCGTTAGAACACGCTAAATATGAAACATTTAACGGGTTAATTCAGTTCTCTAATAAAAAGAATGAAATTTACGAAAATTTTACACGTGTTCGCGTGTAAAAGTTTTCTTTACGTACTGTTACATTTTGCGAAACGTACGTAGACTTACGTGTAAACTGCAGGAAATATATGTACCTACAAAAATGTGTGAGCTTTGTATACACTATTATGACAATTAACGTGTAACGAGTAGCAATTGATTGTAACTTACGAACTATTGCATTACGCTAATAAGTAAGTAGTTTGTATTGGAGTTTAGTTTAAACATAAAACGTCAGATTTTTTTGCTGTAAAAGAAGACACAGAAGAGCAAAAGAATCTTTTTCGTTTTTTTCCGCCATCGTATTTCACACTATGTAGACCAATGAGAACACTCAGATGAACTCGATGTAAAGTATTATGTAAGCTTGCAAACTTGAATAGTACTTTGATTAATTTGATTAATTTTTGATCCAAGATGGTCATATAGTTAGGTCGATTAGGGAGAATGAGGGTAGATTTGACAGATAAGTTAGTATGATGGGGTCGGACAAAATGTTTTTAGTAGTTAATATAAAAGTATCTAATCAATCCAAAAAAAGATTACTTTTACACGTAATTACAGTGTTAATAACGTCATCTAACGGACAGCTAGCCGTAATTAAACTGGAGCTTGCAGGGATTGTGGTGACGAAAATATCGAAATTTACTAATACTAACTAACACTCTTTAAAAAAACAGCGCCTAACGTTAAACATCGCTGATTCACATATGCATGCGCTATCATCGCAAGAATTGCGACGTTGACGGCTAAATTTTTCGTAAATATGCTCTATTTTACGAACCTAATTCCACTTTTTTAAGAAAATTTTGCCCATGGGTACGTTAACATTTGGAAATTAACGAGTGTGAACGCATTTTTCAACGCATTTTGCTTTTTTGAAATCACTTTCGATCCCGTTAAGTTTGGCAATTTCAGTCATTTAACTGCGTTTAAAACATTTGTTTATTTTCATATTTAACGCGTTCTAACGATCGTTAGCCGCTCCAAATTATTTCATGGGACATTGTTGCTTGAAAATGCAGGAAAGATCAAGTAGTACTTGTGGGAGAAATCGTATAAATGTTATTAAAAACTATAGCCTCGTCACAAATGCTGGAAGAGTATGAATATGTTTTTGAGCAATTCAGTCTGAAACTTCAGGGGATAATCTTGTTTTTGTCAGTAGATTGATCGAATCAACGGTCTTTCGTTCTTGAACCATCATAAAGCACATGCATAACCGTGCAATTAGGATTAAACAGAATATCTAACACTATTCCCAAACCGTATATTAATTTTTACAGCTGTCATAGTACAAGAATTATTTACACACCTACTTAACTTACCATACGTTTCATCAATCATGAACTTTTTTTTAATATCAATTAATGTTTCAATTAATTAATAATTTATAAATTAATATTTCATTTTATTTATGAGATCTAAGTTCAACACTAGAACGAAGTTTCATATAAATCACTCTTTTCTCAATGTTCGTTTGTATTTTAATATAAATCGATTCAAAACTCAAATATTTTGATATTAGTGGATGTTTGATTCAATCTTTATTCTTTCAGAATATAATAGAAACAAATAAAAAGAATTATAGTATTCTAAAATTTAAGCTATAGAAAATAAAAAGATCAATTTTGTACGAATAGAGATTCGATCACATGAACTTAAATTTGCGGCCAATTGCAAAATTCATTATTTCTTTTATAAGTGTACCTTGACGTGTTGTCAATATCGAATGGCATTGTTAGTAAGTATTTAATTCCAAGATGTTAGTAGATGTTAGGATTTTTTTGTCATCATCTCAGTAAACGATTGTTTCTAATTATTATAAAAAAACGATAGAAAAAAAGGATTTTTTTTTAGCTCAAAAAATAACAGTAAGAGAAATCTATTACTCTCATCTTACAAATGTACAAACATCATGACCATTGTACTTTTTTTTTTCTCATTTACAATTGATGTAATGACATCAAAAGGAAAACAATAACACTACTACACAACCAAACGGTTGTCAATAACAATGTTTTTAAGCCATCGAAAAATAAATGTTTTTATTAAAAAACCATCCATGTATAGCTTGCTACACGAATTAATACTAAAGCGATTATAACAATTTTATGCTAGAAAAAGAGAGAGAGAGAGAAAAAAAAGAAGAAAGAAAGTCTCATTTGTCTAAAGATCGACGTGATTGCTCATTTTTCGATAAGAAAGAGTAAGGCGTCTCAAATACACATAACCACATACATAACAAACATTCGTTAAAAAAAGTAAGTCATTTTAGTAAATGATTTTTATTTTTAAATTTTAATTCTTCAAAAAATATTAAAAAGAAATATTCGATGGCGTGATGTTGTAAATAGGTTTATTTTGATCATAGGAAATCGCTGCTTAGAATCAAAAGAATAGATATAAGTAGAATAGTTTCCGAGTAATTTTTTTCACGTAATTTAGTTGTTTTATTAGTGGTAGGATAATTCCATGGTATTCACGTTACAATTTACATCGAGTTTCGTCAACTAAGTTGAACTCTTATCTAAATATATAGCTTACATATACAGAATGGCCCAAAAGTGGCTTTATCAAGGTACACACACACATTATTCGGCACATTTTATTTTGATTGAACTCGTTTTTATATCAAAAGATCCCCCGTTGAATTCATAAGAAAAAATGTATTCACTATTTTATTGAAAAAATCCGAAGGTGCAAAATGCCATGAGAAAATGTGAGAAGTACAAAAATGTAGAAAAAATAAACGTATAGTTAACAGTTTTTTTTTAGCATTATTATCTGCTAAAAGTTTGTGAGAGAAGAAAGATGAAGTAGTCATCGTGTACGCCTCGAAAAGCTCTATTTTCCATCTATAATTTTAAATAATTTTCAGTTAGAATTGAGGGCACAAGAATTTTATTTTTATTTTTGCCAATTTTTCAAAAAATGATCAAGTTTTTACCAATAATTTGAGCCTTCTAATAAAACAAATAAAAATGAGTCAAACTTGATCCATTCAGGTTGATCGTTTTAATTGTGAAAACAAGTGAGTAGTTGTTATGATCGGATCTCTAAGATTTGAAAAAAAAATTTGTTTTGGTTCACTGTGCAAAAAAAAGGCAACAACTTTTACTATTTTCATTTGATTGCTGAGAAGTTAATATTTGCATCGATTATTTAGATTCAAATGATTTTCGGTCTGCATGACGAGAAAGAGCGTATTTGAAACTA